CAGCAGGCAGGTGCTTTGCTGCGTTTGACTGCGCAGGTGGACCAGGTGAAGGCTTGCATGCTGCCGTTCATGAGGGAGCGGTTCCCGAGCCGCGGGGAAATGTACCGGGAAGAGTACAAGAGGATTTGCAGACACATCAGCGAGGGGCTCACGAGGGGGGAAGAAGGGGCCCTGACAGCGATGACTGAGGCCCAGAGGGCCTACTACTGGAAGATGAATTTTGTAAAGGTGCAAACGGCAGTCCAGGGGCACTTCGAGGGGCCCCAGGGGCCCCCGGAGTGCGAAGTCGGGGGCCAGGAGGGCCCCCGATCTTCTTGAACATTTCGGTCAAGTGCTCATTTGCAAGCACATTTAGACCTTATTTAGACCTTTATTCACTTATTTTTGCTTTTAAGCGCCAATGAAAACGCGCAGCAGCAGGATCAGCAACTTAGGCAGTGGGCACGTGAGGAACCATTGGTGCAAGAGCCCCCAGCAGCAGCCGCTGAGTTGGAGATAGAATTCCCGCTTGCTTCCCTGAGTTTGCGTTTAATGAATTTCCATTGAATTCCATTAAAATAAAAGGGAAAAAGCAAATAATGCAGCACTAGCTGGAGCCGGACTGTGCAGCTTACGCTCGTATTCAATTGTGGACTGCAGCTCGTCCACCTTGGCTGCGTTCTCGTCCGCCATGGTTCGGTCTGCAGTTTAAAAAGATGAAATTAAAATTAAATGAACAAAAACAATGCAAATAGTAAAAGTGGCATTTTGTTCACCGTATTCGAGCCTTTCTTCCGGCGACATCATGGCGAGGGTCTGCGCTTCTTCTTTGAACGCGTCCTTGGACTCGGTGGATCTGAATCGAGTTGATTTTGCAGTTTTTGTTTGGATCTCGCTTTGAAATAAAAGCGTTTTGAAATATTTACTCGATTTCCCTTTTTTCAGCTTCCCTTTCTTCGTGGAAGGAGCCGCAGGGGCTCATGATCCCGGCCATGGCGTCCTGCTTTCCTGGGGCGGCGTGTGGGCGTGCGCTGCGAATTCAAGTTCAAATTTTTTGCCTTTTGCGTCGAGTTTGTTGGTTTCATTGCGCTTGTCATCGTCTTCTGTCTTGGCGACGATGAGGAGGGGCGCGTTTGCGAGGTCTGGGGCGAAAAAGTTTCGAAATTCAACTCGGGAAACTTGAATTCCGAAGTTGAACTGCCGGCCCACCCGGGTGCAAACTGTCGAACAGCTGCCGCGTCTTCGCCGTCAACAGCGACAACTCCTGCATTAGTCGAAGCCTTTCTGCCTTCAGCTCTGCAGTGTTTTGGGCCAGAGGGAGGGCGAGGTCGGATTCCATTTCGCCGTAGGTGCTGCGCGTTGCGGCAGCAGCTGAGTGCAGCAGCAGCAGCAGCAGCGGGACGCCCCCGGGCCTACTCTTTCAGAGACTTCACGAGGTCTTTCGCTCCTGAGAAAGCCAAGGAATGAGGAAAGCCACGCAGCAGCAACTCCGCAGCTGCAGCGCACCTGCTGCTGCGTCGCTGGTCTCGCGGGCGCGCGCCAGCGCCTGAGAGGAAGCAGCATGGAAGCAGCACTAAGAGTCTCCAGTTTGCTGCTGTACCTTCTCTGCAGCAGTTTCTTCACGAGTGGGCGCGGGGGCCGCGGCCTGGGCTGCTGCAGTGGACCACTGGTCACGCGGGCTCCTGCACTGGACCTGCTGGGAAGCTCTCACCCTGTGCACTCAGCAGCGACTGTGCTGCGCCCCCAATGACAGCTCCAGCCAGCTGGCCTGAGAGCGTTTGCTGCATTTGCTGCTGCAGCAGCTCGACGCGCAGAAAAGGCCTCACCCAGGAACTTTTCCTGAGTTGCATCTGCAGCAGACTGGCAGCAGAAGAGAGCCACACACGGAAGCAAGAGCTTCATTGCTGGCCTTCTCTCGAATTTCAAGGAAAATATGTCTGATTAACTTAATTTTTACCAAACCTGCAACTTTTTTACAAGAAAAAGACTCAAAAAACGAAAGATTCCGAACAACTTGCCGCTTTCCGCAGCGCCTCCTGCGGTGTACGTGAAACTCAATTAGTGCTGCAGCAAAACTGTGCTTGAATTCTTTTCTTCGAGTTACAAACTGCAACGAAACAGCCACATCAACGAAACAGCCACATCAAGAAAAAAATAATAAAAATTCAGTATTTTTTTTTAATATTTACTTGACGGTGCGTCGCAGGGTGCATTTCGCGCTGCAGTGATTGTTGAATTTTTTTGGGTATTTCATAATTTTCTTTGCCGGATATTCTCGTATACTTTTTTTAATTGAAGGCCCCAGTGGAGACAAACACAAGAAAAGCCGCTTTCCTTTTGTTTGAAACTTTTTGAATGGCAAGTTCAAGTTTTTTGCAGAATAATACTGATATCGGGTGAACTTCAGCTTCGGATTACGAAAGCAACAAAAACTGCGGACTACAGCTTTCCACCGGACAAAAAGAAATACAAGAAAAACATTTTTAATTTAAATATATAAAATAAAATGTTAATTGGTTTCTCTTTTTCTTTTTGAAATGGTGCAAACAGGGAAGTTAGGCGCTCAGGTTCCTGAAGGATCAAACGGTGACTCGACTCTGAAGGCGTCCACAACTCTCGGTATTTTGCGCGTAGCAAGTCTTATAGTGGGCTTAAAACGAAATTTGACTTTAAAATTATAATTGCAAATAATTTAAAATGAAGCTGCCGGATTTTTGGAGGGAGAAGACGGCGAGGCTGCGCTGAAATGGCTGGCATGTTGAATTCCTCGGCGCAGCCGAGCCCGAAAGCCGGCCGAAACGCTCGTGTCTTCAAACTCAAGTGAGATTAACAACAAGAAATTGTTTTTTTAATTTTAAATTCAATTTAATTTGAATTACTTCAGCGCTTCATCGACAGACCAACACCGGTCTGGCTGGGTATGCCGCCGGCATCTTGCCTGTGCAGACCGCCCAGGGCTTCGTGTGTTCACTGATGAAAAATAAACTTCTTGTCCATTATTGTTTCATTTTATTCCATTTTTTAATTATTCCGGGGCCTTTAGCTTCTTAATTTGCCTTTTCAAGGCCTGGTTCCACCCGCTTTCGCCCTCCGCATGCACTGGACTTCAGCCCAGGGCTTCAGCAGCAGCAGCAGCAGATCACTTTCTAAAGTCCCACTTTATCCCAACTTCGGTTTCTCACGCGCTGCTCTAACAGGCGGCTGCTGCAGCAATGCAGCACGGTGTCCTCAGCAGCAGCAGCAGCAGCAGCAGCAGGCGTACATACAGGGTGGACAAGCAGTTTCCTCATGAGGAGCTGCACTTGAAACATCATCTAGCCTGCAGCAAATCCGCAGCGGGGGTTCTCGATGCAACTGTCTGGGGATCCTGCAGCTGCTGCTGCTGCTGCTCCTGTTGATGCTGCTGCTGCTGCTGCTGCTCCCGGAGCCTCTACGCAATGCAGCAGCAAGATAAGGCCCTCAGACAGCGAGTTTGCAATAGTTCTGACGGACTCAGAAGACGAAGCAGCACCAACTGCTCAAGTGCAGCAACAGCAACAGCAACAACAACAGCAGCAGCAGCAGCAGCAGCAAACGTCAAGCAGCAAACCAAGCCACGAGGCTTCCCCAAGACGCTGCAGACGGTCAGTCAACCTCGAAGACTCCGACAGCGCCCCTGAGGGCCCCCCTGAAAGCAACAGGGGCCCCCCGGTGGGCCCCCCTGGGGGGCCTCCTGGGGGGCCCCCTGGGGGGCCCCCCTCGAATAGTGGAGAAGTTTTATTTGCTGCTGCTGCTGCTGCTGCTGCTGCGGGGGGCCCTTTTCGGCGGCGCTCTGCGCGTTTGGCGGCCTTGAGCGGTTCGGGTGTATGTACACCGGGGCGCACCCCAAGACGAAGTGAAGGCGCTGCAGCAGCAGCAGCAGCAGCAGCAGGTACTGCTGCAGCAGCAGATGCTGCAGCACTAGCAGCTGCTGCTGCTGCAGCAGACCCCCCTGCAGCCCAAGCCACGCAGGAGCCCAGCAGCAGAGACCCGGAGGCCCTCAGCAGCTCCGCTGCTGCTGCTGCTGCTGCTGCTGCTCCTGAGCTGACCCCCAGCAGCTCGCCGCAACTCTTGCGCCACAAGAAGCGGCTAAGGCGCAGCGTTGACTGCAGCAGCAGCGGCAGCAGCGGCAGCAGCAGCAGCAGCAGCAGCAACTTATTGAAATCTGACGAAGAAAGTTCGTCAGTCCCCAGGGTGAGGCGCCACCGCCGCTCTTTGGTCGTTTCTGAGGGCAGCAGCGACGACGAGGGGGGTTCCTCAGCTGCAGCAAACAGCAGCAGCAGCAGCAGCAGCAGCAGTAGCAGCAGCAGCAGCAGCATGAATAACGTCACTGCAACAGCTGAGAATGACAGCAGCAGCAGCAGCAACGCGAGCTGTGAGCCGAAGACAAATTTGCCGGATGTTGAGGGGCCCCCAAGGACGCCGCTGCTGGAGGCTGCTGACCGCCCCAGCAGCAGCAGCAGCAGCAGCAGCAGCAGCAATTCAGCCGCAGCAGGCAAAAGCAGCAGTAGCACTATTGCGGCAGAAGAAAGCAGCAGCAGAGGCAGCAGCAGCAGCAACAGCAGCAGCAGCGCAACAGCTCCGAACGACCGCAGCGGCTCAGTGACTCCTCTACGACCGCACCGGCGCCTGCGCAGGCAGCAGCAACAGCAGCAGCAGCAGCAGCAGCAGCAAGAGCAGCAGCAGCAAGCGGAGCAAAAGGGTGACAGCGGCCGCCCATCGCAGAAAGAACTGCAGCAGCGGCTGCAGCAGCTAGCCAAGAAGGTGAGGGAGCGGAGCCTCAAGTCGAGAGCCGTAGGCTATGAAGGTTCCCACGCGAAAGAGGGCAGCAGCAGCAGCAGCAGCAACAGCAGCAGCAGCAGCAGCAGCAGCAGCGAAGAGGACCGGCACAAGGGGACTGTGAGGCGCGCAGCGACTGCGACAAGCGCCCGAAAGGCATCTCGAGTCAGGGTTGCTGCTGCTGCTGCTGTTGTTGTTGCTGCAGTGGTTGCTGCTGCTTTCGATGCCGCCGTTGCTGCTGCTGCTGCTACTACTGCTGCTGCTGCTGCTGCTGCTTAGGGCTGCTCAGCGGACACTGCTGCAGCCATTTAGAGTGCGGCTGGCGATGCAGCTGAGGTGATGAGGTTTTTGATCCCTTACGCGCCTCTGAATCTGCACTTTGAACCCTCAGTTCTAGGGTTTGGGGTTTAGGGTTTAGGGTTTGGGGTTTAGGGTTTGGCGTGCAGTTCTTCTCGTTCGCTAGAGACCTCCGCGAGGCCGCGTCGGACTCAGAGGAAAGCGTCGGGAGTTTTATTGCAGACAGCCAAAACGAGGTTTCTGGAACAGACAGCGGTTCGGGTGAGGAGGCCCCGCAAACCCTAAACTAGGGTTTAGGGTTTAGCGGCGATCCAGGGGTGCAGGGCTTGCGGCCTCAAGTGCGGGGTGCCTCTTCTTGCCTATCGGATCTTAGGGCCTCTTCAGCGACTAGGGCAAAGGGTTTAGGGTTTAGGGTTTAGGGTTTAGGGTTTAGGGTTTAGGGTTTGTGTGCAGAAGAGGAGCTGGAGTCGGAAAGCAGCGACACGTCTGCAGACGAAGCTCTCGAGGCCCTGCGATATCACCACCTGCTCATGGAGGACAACGAAGCTCCCCTCCACTTAGAAGTAAGGGTTTAGGGTTTAGGGTTTTAGGGTTTAGGGTTTAGGGTTTAGGGTTGAGTGCTCCTCGAGGCCGTGAAGGGGCGCAGGGACAAGCGCGTGCTGCGCTGCTGCTGCGTGGAGCTCTCGTTTCTCCGTTAGGGTTTAGGGTGTAGGGTTTAGGGTTTAGGGTTTAGTGTTTAGGGTTTAGGGTTTGGTTTTGTCTGCAGCAAACCCTAAGCCTCAGGGAGTGTTTTGAACTTTACGTCTTCTCTCTGGCCCTCAGTTTATTTTCTCCCCATTTGAGTCTGCAGCAGCTGCAGCAGGACTTTTCCGCAGCAGAAGCCTCTTTATCAGCAGAAGGTGTGTGGGGTTCTTTGCTGCAGCAGCAGCAGCAGCAGCAGCAGGAGCAGCAGCAGCCTTTGTGTTTGTGCTGCAGCGGCGGAAGCGCTGGGCGAGTTGGATGTGCCCAAGTTGGTGGCGGTGAGGCTGGTGCTCATGTTGCAAACCCTAAACCCTAAACCCTAAACCCTAAACCCTGAGTAGCTCTCTCGCTTTCTTTCGCTGCTGCTCCCCGCAGGCCACAGGAAGAATTGAAACCATAACGCTTGCTAAACGAAATTCAGTGAGTTTCGCTGGGTTTTGAGGTTTAGGGTTTAGGGTTTAGGGTTTAGGATTTGGAGCTGAGGGTTTAGGGTTTGGGGCTGAGAGTTTAGGGTTTGGGGCCTAGGGTTTAGCGTGTAGGAGGCGGGGCTGCTGCAGATGGACCTGGGGTTTCGAATACTGGGCGAGCGGCCCAGGGCTTAGCGATTAGGGTTTAAAAACCGCTTTCTAGGGTTTAGGGTTTAGGGTTTAGGGTTTGGCAGCAACTTTGCTGCAGATGGAGACCCACACTTTCCCCCCCGAGTGCCTCCAGCAACTAAAGGCCTTTCCTTCTTGCACTCTGTCAGAAGCGCCAGAGTTCCTCGACATGTAGGCCCGCAAACCCTAATTTAGGGTTTACGCAAACCCTCAGCAGAACACACTGGAAAACCCTTTGAGAGCCCCTACAGGTACTTCAGGGGGCCCCCAGGGGCCCCTGGGGGCTCCCGGGGGCCCCCAGGGGGGCCCCGGGGGCCCCCGAACTGGGTTCGGAGAGAAGAGAATATTCTCTTTAGCTCCTTCGGGATTAATTGGAAATGTTGCTGACTGCCATGTTGACCATAAAGGGTATTTTAGAGTTCGAGTTGCTGTTGTTTTGTCTCAGAAAGATCCTCGAGCTGAAAGGCCTTTTGTTTTCGACACTTTTGGGCCTTCAGCAGCAGCAGCAGCAGCAGCAGCGCCGGGAGCAGCCGCTGCAGCGGAACCCGAAGAGTGGGCAGAAGAGCCCGAAGAAAGCTTTGTGCAAACGGAAGCAGCAGCAGCAGCAGCAGCAGCAGCAGCAGCAGGAACAGCAGCAGGAGCAGAAAAAGACGGACCCGCAGCAGCAGCAGCAGCAGCTGCAGCAGCGGGAAGCAGGGATGCAGCATTTGCTTCCTTTTTGGAAACTGGGGGTTTTGGTCTTGGGAAAATATTTAAAAGAAAAGGAGAAGAAGAAGAAGAAGAAGAAGAGGGGCCCCCAGAAGAAGAAGAAGAGCAGCAGCAAAAGAAGCGGGGGGGCCTCTTCCGGCGGCTGCTGCAGCGGAAGGGGAAAGCAGCAGCAGCAGCAGAAGAAGGGGAAGAAGCAGAAGACTTCGGCGAGGAGGAGTCCGCAGAGGGCGGGCAGCAGCAGCAGCAGCAGCAGCAGCAGCAGCAGCAGCGGCGGCGGCGGAAGCTGGGGGCGGGGGTGAAGAAGAAGCTGCAGGCGGCGCTGCGGGCGCCCAAAGCCCTCCTCAGCAGCAGCAGCAGCAGCAGCAGCAGCAGCAAGACGCAGGTGGAACTTTCGCTGGACTTCTCCTCTCCTGCTGCTCCCAAGTGCAGCGCGCCTGCTGTTTGGAAGGGGAAGCTGCGGACTTCTTCATTTATTTTCTTTTCTTTTAATTTGAGAGTTTTAGCAGCAGAAGTTTCCAGCAGCAACTTTGCTGCTTTTGTCTCCAGCGCCCTCGCCCTCGAAGCCACTTGCAAAGAAAAAAAGGGCTGCTTCCTCGAAGATGCCCTCATCTCTTGCGTCCAGGTACCGCAGCAGCAGCAGCAGCAGCAGCAGCAGCAGCAGCAGCAGCAGCAGCGGCGGCGCAGCGGCAGCTGCAGCAGCGGCGGCGCAGCGGCAGCTGCAGCTAGAGAGTTGATAGTTTTGAGCCTTTTAATAGCAAATTAATTATACTTATTGTCTTGCTGCTGCTGCTGCTGCTGCTGCTGAGTGAAGCAGCAGAGCTGCGGCAGGCCTCTTCGCGTGGTGGTGGTGCGGCAGCAGCAGCAGCAGCAGCTCAGAGGCTGGCTGCGGGACCTGTAGAGGTTTGAAATTTGTGGGAAGTGTTGATTCGATGTTTGCTGCCGCTGCTGCCGCTGCTGCTGCTGCTGCTGCGCCTCAGGTGTCTTGTCCGAAGAAAGTGAAAGTGCGGGAAGAGCTGCTGCAGCACTTCAGCGCGCACAGAGCAGCAGCAAATAAGCAGCTGGAGAAAGTAGCAGCAATACTGCAGCAGCGGGGGGGCCCCGAGAAGCTAAGTAGAGAAGAAAGAGAACAAATAGCAAAAGCTTATGCTGAGCGTGTGCGGCAGCAGCAGGAGGAGGAGGAGCAGCAGCAGCAGCAGCGCCAGCTGCTGCTGCAGCAGCAGGTGCACCAGCACCAGCAGCTCGAGCAGCAGAGGCAGCAGCAAATCGCGCTCCAGCAGCAGATCCAGCAGCAGCAGCAGCTGCTGCAGCAGCAACCAAGACCCGGCGCCCCCGTCGTCGTCTCCGCAGCAGAAGAACCCCCCGAAGAAGAGGAGGAAGAGCAGCAGCAGCAGCAGCAGCAGCAGCAAAAGGAAGAACCCTCAAAGCCCCGCCCCAAAGTCCAGCTGAAGCTCACAGGAGCAGCAGCAACAGCAGCACCAGCAGCAACAGAAGCCCACGGGGTGTACGTACACCTCCTCGCTCTCAACGCCCTGTGGCTTCTCTGGCTCTGGTCATAAATGCAGCAGCAGCAGCAGCAACAGCAGCAGCAGCAGCAGCAGCGGCGGTCTGCAGCCCCTCAGCAGCAGCTGCAAACCCTAAACCCTAAACCCTAAACCCTAGGTAGGGAAGGGCTGGGCTGGCTGTCAGTGGGGGGTGGGTGGGACCCGGAGTAGAAATAAATGTGGATTTGAATTCCGAAATATTTAAATTAATTAATTTATTAATTTAAATGCAATAAATAAATAAACACATTATTTATTTGTTTATTTATGTGTGGGTTTCGTTGTCGGGAGCTGCTGCGCCGCGCCCGAGGCGCTGCTGCGCGCGCCGCCGCCGCGCGAAGCCGCCCCGATTTTGCGCCAAATGAAGAAGAAATGGATTAAATAAAACGAATTAAATAAAATAAATCAAATTAAAGAATAAAAGAAACTTAAAGAGGGCCCAACGCAGCCGCAACACCCGCGGCGCCGCGACAGCAGCGCCGCCGCAGCGTGGGGGCCCCCACGAGCAGCGGGGGCCCCTGCTGCTGCTGCTGTGGCTCCAAATTGCGGGTGTTTTTGCTTCTTTTTCGCTTCCAAACTTCAAATAAACAAAACCAAACAAATTGTTTATTTTAATTCCTTTTTCGTGGCTTCTGGGGGACCCCGGGGCCGCGGCGCTGCAGGTGCTGCGGGCGGCGCCGCCGCTGGTCCGGGTGTCGTGACACCTGGTTTTTCCGCGAAAAGCCGAAAAAACGAAAGATCTCTTCGAACAAAAGAAATAAAAAGAAATAAATAAATAAAAACTGCAAAATTAAATCCAATTGCGGCCAAAAAAGGGCCCAATGGCTCTCCGATCGCTCTCCAGTCGCATTTCCCAGCGCCTCTTTGGCCGCGTACACTTCAGACTTGGCAGCAGAATTCAAATCCGAGTCAATAAGGGCTTCAAGCCGCAGCAGCACGAGTCTCTCGGTGCTGCAGTCTTCTTCGCGAGGTGAGGGTTTAGGGTTTAGGGCTTAGGGTTTAGGGTTTGGGGGTTGGGGTTTAGGGTTTGGGGGTTGGGCGGGGGTTAGGCGCTGCTGCTGCTGCAGCGCCCGCTGCAGCTGCGGCGCGCTATCGACGCGCAGAGGACATACTCTGCTCGAGGGTTTAGGGTTTAGGGTTTAGGGCTTAGGGTTTAGGGTTTAGGGTTTAGGGTTTTGCAGGTGGTCAAAGCATCTGCGGGCGGCGACAGTGGGGAATTTCGTGAAGGCGAATATATCGAAGGAGGCTTCTGCAGCAATTCCAAATGGAGGTAAACTAATTTAGGGTTTAGGGTTTAGGGTTTAGGGTTTAGGGTTTAGGTGGCTCTTTTAATATATTTTATCTTTTTTGTTTTTTTTCAGTTTTTTTTTCAGCTCTTTTTAATTTCTTTTTTCATTTCTTTCTCCCTCTTTCTGTTTCTTTCAATCTCCTTTTATTTCTTGTTATTCTTGTTATTCTTTTTGTTTCTTTTTATTTCTTTTTTCCTCTTTTTATTCCTTTTTATTTTTTATTTTATTTTTTTCATTTTTTATTTTTCTTTTTCTGCGGTGTCTGCGGATGTGTGCAGTGTGTGGGGTGTACGTACACCCCAAGGAGATGCGCTTTTGCAAATAAAATAAAAATAAAATTAATTCCATTTTATTTTAGTTCCCCTTCGTTCTATTTTAATTCTATTTTACTTCTATTTTAATTCTATTTTAATTCTATTTTCCGTTTATATTTTATCCAGATTTTAATTATACTTTAAGTCCATTTTATTCCCAGTTTGTCATATTTATAAATCTACTTTAATTCTACTTTAATTCTGTTTTAATTCTATTTTAATTCTATTTTGACTAGTCTTTGTTTCCTGCTCATTTTATGGCGCTAAAGGGAGCTCCAACCAGCAGCAGCAGCAGCAGCAGCAGCAGCAGCAGCAGCAGCAGGTTGCGTTGCATTAATAAAAGCGTTTGTATTCTTAGAAGTCCATTTCTATTAATTTTGCAAAATCAATTCAATCGCTTTTCTGTGCTCTCAACGAACCATTTACTGTGCTGCTGCCGCTGCCGCTGCTGCTGCCGCTGCTGCTGCTGCTGCT